TTCTCTGTAACAGTTTTATTAATTAATACATTGTATGCATATACATACATACAAGAACAAAAACTGTTTGGAGCAGTTTTGAGACTTAGGGTAAATTGCCATAGCAACATGTCTCGACTAAAACCTACCCACCTTTCGTAGTACGGGTTAATCGCGAAGTTACACCACACGTCATCAAGTTACTTGCAAAGTTCCCCCGATAAGCCAGTAACCCCGCTTCGTAGTACAGGCCACTGGACCAGATTAACTGTCTTGCTTAGTTAAGAGTTGTCTCAAAGAACGTCCAACTTGTGGGAACAGATTCCCAAAATTCCACATTCTCACTACTCATGTCATGTAATAAATGTAATAAAGCCTATAAAAATCACGTCTCAGCATCTCCAATTAATTCCAAAATAATTAAAATAAAAACGTAGCCAGAAGGAGACTAAGAGGGGACATGATCCAGGCATATAAAATTCTAAGAGGTCTGGATGCTGTTCAGACAAATGGCTACTTCAATATTAGTTTAAATACTAGAGCTTGTAGCCATAGGTGGAAATTAGCGGGAGAATATTTTAAAAGGGATTTGAGAAAGTATTTCTTTACACAGAATGTAGTTAGAGTATGGAATAGTCTCCCTGTTAGTGTAGTGCAAGCTAAAACCTTGAGTTCCTTTAAATCAGAGCTAGATAACTCTGAGCTATTAGTTGTGTTCAACCCACACGAGCTTAATGGGCTGAATGGCCTCAAAAAAGGTTATGTGGTACAATGGGCGGAACTTAAATGAGGGCTCCGTCTATGACGTCATCACCAATGATTGACAGGTCCAGCTGCATGCCCCCACCCAAAAGATGATTGACAGGGCTAGCCGCCCACCCCCTGTTCCCCCACAACCTAGTTAAAATTTAAATTAGTAATTTAAAGCTTGTATTAAAACAATGGTCACATTTATTATGTTTTAAGGAATAATAAATCGTATAGTAGACTGAATGTAAGCTAGTGCATACACGTTGTATTTTAAAAGAAAATGCACGTAAGCTCATTATATTTAACCGAAATGTTTAAAGAATTTAACTCTTAAACAAGTAGAGACATGCCTGAGCGAAACACCGTATTTTAAGAAAACGACACAAGTCCCAAACTTTTAACTAGAGACACCATTTTTAAGTAGAGGCATACCCGAGCGAAACAAGCACGAATATTTTAGCCCAAGTTTATAAAAATGAGAAAAAGCCGTAATCAGTTCAAAAGTTTTATTTCAATGTAAAATAGAAAAAGTATTTCACCAAACGCGAAGCTGTAGCTCGGCAGAGCGTGCGCTCCGTTTGAACAATGCGGGCGAAATGACAACCTAGGCGATCCGAAGCTTACGCAGGCGCACTTCACGTATTTCAAAATGGCGACAACAAGAAGTATTAAAACTGTCTTGCCGCTAGAGTTTTAAACTAGAAATAATTCTCTTTAACACGAACGTGCTGTTTTTAATACAATGTTTAATACAATGTATGTGAACAGCCTAGATGATAAGTTTTAGGGAATGAATATATGTGTTTTTAGCATAAATTTAGAAGCATGGGTGTCGGCACATACCGCTAGGTGGGGCTGTCTACTGTTCTTTTTTGTTAAAGGGGTTCACAGCAGGGGCCGTAAAACAGCGGGTGGCCGCACGCCTGTTTGACAACTGGCTCGAGATAGACCGGTTCCCAAGGCTATTGATCTTTTGCTGGTCCCCCATTCCCAAGCTATTGCATTTGTCGGAATGCCATAAACTGCGACACCCCTGGATTGTGATAAGAACGCACCCATCCTGACAGAACGCACATTAACTCTATTTGTTAATCTGACTTATTTGTAAATAGTATAAAATAATCTATTTCTAATTTAAATAAAAGTCGGGCTCTAACACCACAACTCCCTGCTGTTTAGCAACATTTAGTTAATTTCATCAACGGATGGCTAATCAAAAGGAATAAATAACTTAAAAGATGTATTTAGTTGTATTTTGTTATCAGGGCTTTAGAGTTTAACTTCAAGGCTGTGAAATCAGGCGTAATTATTTGTCAGGAGAACGATGTGTATGCAGACCCAAAGCACACTAACTCAGGCATTCACACAACTTATGGCGAAAAACCAGACAGAAATACCAGAGTAGTGATGGCCGATTCGCGAACGAATCGTTCTTTTTAACTCAGTTTTTTTAGTGAACGGGTTGAACCGATTCGTAAGTCTGAACGAATCGATTTTTAAAATTATTTAAAAATATTTTTAAAACTTATCTTTGGCTATTCAACATCCAAAAGCATCCCCCGCGACTTCGGATATCATGTTCCGTCTGCGCTTGTCTTATCACTTTTAGGTTTATCCTTATGTTCGTCACTTACATTCGTCACTTTTGCGTTCGTAGACTTCCGTCTGGTGCCGAGAACACCCGAACGGCTGAGTACCAGGGGCCGGTTGCACAAAACACCTTAAGTTAAGATTTTCCTTAAAGTCCGAGTTAAGGTCTCCTTAAAATAAAGTCGGTTGCACAAAACGCCCTTAAGTCTCTCCCTTAAGGTTTCCTTAATTTTTTCTCTTAAGTATTTAAGTTTTTCTCCTTATCTTGGTCTTATATTTAAGGAATCCCTTAACGGTTGCACAAAACACCTTAGCAACCAAACTAAGGGAAAAAAATTAAGGTACCTCTAACCTTACCTTAACTGCGAGATGGCGGAGTTTATGCTAATAGATAACGAAAATGAACGCATCCCAAAAAGAGTGTTCCGTGACCGAGAGAATCCCTTAGATACGCTCAACGATGAGCAATTGATTTTGCTGTATAAATTTGACCGGCAGTCAATTTATGATTTGTCCGACCGTCTACAGTTGGATCACTCCACAAACCGAAGCTGTGCTCTCCCGGCTGCGTTGCAATTAATGATCGCTTTGCGGTTTTATGCTACGGGCTCCTTCCAGGCTGTAATAGGCGATGTATTTCATGTTCACAAATCAACGGTGTGCCGCGTCATTCACCGAATTTCAAACGCCATTGCCGGTCTTTTGAATACCGTGGTGAAGTTCCCCTCAAAACCTGAAGAGGATGAAATAGCAACAAACTTTTTTAATGTAGCCGGCTTCCCAAGAGTGTGCGGTGTGATAGATGGGACCCACATCAGGATTCAAGCTCCGGTACAACACGAAGATCAGTTTATTAACAGAAAAAATCAATATTCAATCAATGTACAGTTAGTCTGCAATCATGAAAATAAAATAACTAACGTTGTAGCACAATGGCCTGGCAGTACCCATGACGCTCGAATATTGGATGAGAGTATCCTTGCAAGGGAATTTGAGGAAGGGAGGCACAAAGGCATCCTCCTTGGGGACAGTGGTTATCCGTGTCGTTCATGGCTAATGACACCATTCAGAAATTCTGCCAACAGTTCTCAGGCAAGTATAGTCTAAGTATCCAAATTGTAAAATAGACCTACCTTGTTCAGCTGCATGTTTTACTTTAATTTACAATTTATTCAATGTGATTGATAATAATCGATAGTACCATGTGGTCCCCTCCCTCTTTCTAACAGGAGAGCTACAATTTTAGCTTGTGCAAAACACGGGCAATTATTGAGCGGGTCAACGGGCAGCTAAAACGACGCTTCCACTGCCTACATGGCGAGCT